AATCAGTTTGCTCTGGAGCCATCCTTCCTGAGCAGACAAAAATGTGTGAGGCGGAGGCTAAAAAACTGTGTGACAGCTCACACTAACTCAGCTTAGAGGGAGCACTGCTTGTGAGGTAGGTGGAGCTGAGAGAGTTCTTGAAGAACAGTGACTGGCCCAAGGTCACCCAGCAGGGTTCATGCAGAGGAAGAGTGGGGAATCAAACAGAGTTCTCCAAATTAGATCCCACCGCTCTTTATAGTGGTTAATTACTCACATTACTCAGAAGGATCTCAGGACCAATACACAGCTTACAAAGCCTTCCTGTTCCCAACATGTCTGCCATGGGTCCTCTTGACCTCTGAGTAGTTCTGCACTCAGAACTTAATCCCCTAGTGCAGGAGGGCCCAATTCAGATAAGAAACATGCAAGACAAGGAAAGGGGGCTTCAACGCCCCCCCCCCATGCCATTTCCCCAGTGTAAAATGACTCCAAGGAGTCACTATTTGCCCCGTTGTGGAAACCTGCATATATAGTGATAATACAATAATAATTGTGCACAATTGATTTACAGCCGACTTATGGCAACCCCGTAGGGTTTTCAAGGCAAGAGATCTTCAGAGGTGGTTTTCCCACTGCCTGCGGCAATCCTGAACCTTCCCTGGTAGTCTCCCATCCAAGTGGTAACCATAGCAGACCCAGTTTAGCTTCTGAGAATTAAAGAGATTGGGATAGCCTGGGCTATCAGGCTGCTACGCACACATAGGCTACATGTTAAGTTTTCCCCAAGGGGCAAGCACCAGTTCCCTGGGGCCACTTCAGGCCAGGGGAAGCCTTAAGTCCCCTCTCCTATCAGTCCCTTATCTGGATCAGACCAGGGGCACCTGGGAATTAAGTTCCAAGCACAGAACTTTCAGGGTCACCACATGAACCAACGGAGGCCCACAGGGCACGAGAGGGGCTTTGCACCATGCGAGCTGGCCCTTTAAATCACTAGTTCTATTCTGCCAGGCAGAAAGCCCCATCCCTGACTGTTAGCCTTATTCAGGGGGCACGAAGAACTGTCTCGAATAGCTGCCATCCCTCTGATTGGATTTAAATTTGGCTTTATATTTTGTTTTTATCCAGAGCTTTTTTTTTTTGAGAGGTGCCGGAACTCTCAAGAGGGAAATGAGGTTTTCAATCCGTATCCTGAAAACTCCTGAATTTTTAAACTTTTTTTAAAAAGAATTTTGCAGAAGAGGTTCCGGAATGCCATTCCGGTGCGTCCCCCCCCCCCTTTATATCATGTTTCAATGCTATTATGTTCACTTAATAGAGTGTTTCATGAAATGTTGTGACTAGTGTTCCCTCTAAGCTGCGTTAGTACGAGCTAGCTCACAGTTTTTTTAGCCTCCGGCTCACACGTTGTCGCCTTCGCTCAGGAAGGATGGCTCCAGAGCAAACCCATTTAGGCAGCAGCCCAATCGCTGGCTCGCAACGTTCCTGCCAGCAGCTCACAAAGTAGAATTTCTGCTCACCAGACTCCAGGGCCTGGAGGGAGCATTCGGGTTGTGACCCGCCCTGAGCCCGCTTGCGGGGGAGGGCGGGATATAAACCAAAAGGAATAAACAGATACATTTCACGTGTCCGTTCATTCAGACGGTCGCGTGAAACCAGCTGCCAGTCACAGGTGACGCGAGTTCCCCTTGGATTTTATGTAAATTATCAAAGCACCAAATTTTTATGTCAAGACACAGTGTTTTTATTATGCTGCTGTTTGTATGCATATTTTAACATCGGCATGGCCGTTCGTTAGCCGCCCCGAGCTGTATATTGGATGGGGCGGGATATAAATCCCAAAAATAAATAAATAAATAAATATTCAATAGTTAAAGGAACTATTAACTATTAATATTCAATAGTTAAAGGAATAGTTAAAGGAATAAATAAATATTCAATAGTTAAAGGAACCTGGCACCGGAAGAGCCCCGGGACCGTTATGCAAATATATGCAGATGAGGCGGCTCGCGAGCGGCACCCTCCCCGCCACCTGCCACGGCAGGGGGGCCCCCAGACGAGGCTGGTCGCCCCTAGCAACAGCGGCTGATGCTCAGATGCCCCGTCCCGAGGTCGCCCCTCCCCGCCAAACCTCCACGAAGGCGTCCGTCAGGTCGCTGGCTCGGTCCATGACGGGCAGGTGCCGCCCCGCGACGATCTTGACCTTCAGCTTCCCCGGCATCTTCCTCGCGCGCCACCCTCTGCGCCGCCGCCTCGTTTCGCCTTCCCCCGCGGCGGTTGCTGCTGAGGTAACGGCCGCAGCGCGCGCCCCATAGAACGAGCGCGGTCAAAACAGGAGGGGAGGGGGGGAGACGCCAGCGGGCGCCGCCAAGGCGCATGCGCTGCGCGGAGGGCAGCGACCGGTGTCTGGTTGTTTTTCCCCCCTCTTTTCGTTTCTGTACCCCGCTCCCCTTTCGCCTGGAGACGCTTCGCGCGCATGCGTTGAAAGCGCGACTCTCCGTCACCTGCGCGTTTGCGCACGCGCACTGTAACGCGAGGAAGAGCTGCGACTACGCGTGCGCCTCGGAGCATCATCTCGGATCGAAATATTTTTGTAACGGTTCTCCCCCTCCCTTTTTTTTTTTTTAAACCCCCCCGTCGGTAATCGGGTTTTACTGACGCGGTGACCGACCGACGGTAATTGAAGTCGTCTCCCCCAAGCCGTTGCTTGAAGTTAAAACAGGCCGGGATGGACCTGCAAAGGCAGTAGCGGTCGAACACGGAGTCGACGATAGGAACCGTGCTGTGATTGCGGGGGGAGGGGCTGGTTCCTTCCAAGGCTATGTGAAAGAGCACCGAAACATCGATTGCTCTTCTTTCCCAAGAGGTGTGCGCTGAATGGATCTAACGCTGTTCGTGCTTTAGAAGGCTTGGAAGTTGCTCGCAACTCGGTTTCTGGGGCCAGACAAGAAAGTAGGCGCTAGTTGGGCCCCTTCACTTCTGCCGTACTGAAGAATTTTGTGACACCTGAGCAATTACCACTTATTTGTTATGTTTCGTCCGGCCCTTCCTTCAAGGAGCTCAGGTTTTCCCACCCACCATTTTATATTCACAACAATCCTGTTGTGAGAGAACAAATTTAAAATCCAGTGGCACCTTTAAGACCAACGAAGGTTTATTCGTTGTGTGTGCACTGAATAAACCTTTGTTGGTCTTAAGGGTGCCACTGGACTCTAAATCTGTTCTGCAGCTTCAGACCAACAGGGCTCACTACCTGGAACTAGCTGAGAGATCATCAAGTGAACTTTTTTTTGCTTGGTATTGGATGACTCTTGATTGTGTACCAAGAGGTTTTCTACTGCCCTGTGTCTCAGGAGCCAAAAAGGGCGGGGGGATGCCAACTTCCAGCTGAAGCCTGGATGTCTCCTGGAAATACAGCTGGCCTCCAGGCTACAGAAATCAGTCCCCTTGAGAGAAGTGTGCATGCACTGTGTGGGTCTTAAAAGTGCCACTGGACTCAGGCTTTGTTCCCTTAGGCTATGGTCACACACTCTAAATAATGCACTTTCCAGCTGGATTTTTACTGTGTGAACTAGCAAAATGCAATTCAAAAGTGCATTGAAAGTGGATTATGTAGTGTGTGTGAGGGCAGCCTGACTGGCTGTTTTGCATGGTAGACTCTGTGGCATCACATCCAATGCTCCCTCTAAGCTGTGGAGTCTTGTGAGCAAAAATTCTACTTTGTGAGCTACTGGCATGAAAGTGGTGAGCCAGCGGTTCGGCTATACTGCATAAATTAGTTTGCTCTGGCACCCGTCCTTCCTGAAGGGAAGAGAAAAATGTGTGAGCCAAAGGCTAAAAAACTGTGACCTAGCTCACACTAACTCAGCCTAGAGGGAGCACTAACTCAGCCTCCCTGCAGAGCTCCCTCCCCAAACTCCATCTCTTTTTTTAATTTAAATTTTTTATTATATATTCAGAATATTAACAAATCCAACAATTTCTGTAATAAGCATTTCAGAGTTGATAATTAGTAAGTAAATGCTTTTTTGAGCACATTTGCATTAAGCATATTGGAGAAAAATTGAAACACTGTACATTAAAAAATATTATTACAACAAGTATATAGCTTAAGAATACTATACAATCAAGGAATTCCCCAACCTGGAGTTAGCAATCTTGGAGTGGGGAATCTGTAAAGAAGGAGAGGTCGGTAGTGCGCCTGCGTGGGCGTAGCTGCCGTGGCGACGGGGGGGAGGGAGCGTTGCCGTGGCAACGAAACGGCCAATCCAGCTGGGCCGTGGCAGTTAACGGCGCTCGACGGGTCTTCTCTTCGCTTTGGGGGGACTCTCACGGAGACGGGGAGCATCATGCCGGTCCCGGACGTCATGTTCTGCGCGCAGCAGATCCACGTGCCCCCCGAGCTGCCCAACATCATGAAGCAGTTCACCAAGGCGGCGATCCGGACTCAGCCGCGCGACGTCCTCCAGTGGTCCTACGGCTACTTCTCCGCCCTGGCGAACGGGGAGCCCCTCCCGGTGAAGGAGCGGGTGGAGATGCCGGTGGCCACGCAGAAGAACGACAGCGGCCTGACCCCGGGGCTCCTGAAAGTGCTGCACAAGCAGCTGGCCAAGAAGGAGACGGTGGCGCTGAAGGAGCTCCAGATCAAGTGGAAGAACCTCTGCCTGCCGGTGGAGCAGCTGCACGACCTCTTGCGGCTGGACAACTTCGACGACGGGGTGGCGTGGATGAAGTTCTTCGCGCTGGCGTGCAGCGCCCTGGGCGGCTCCCTGGTGAGCTCGATGAAGCACGCCTGCGAGATCCTGACGGAGGACCCGGAGGGCGGCGCGGCGCGCGTCCCCTACGACACCTTCGCGTTCCTCTACTCGTACCTGGCCGGCTTGGACGAGGAGATCCCGCAGGAAAAAACCGAATCTTTTCTCGCCGCTCTCAAGGAGCAGGTGGCGCGGAAGGAGGACATGGTCGGCGTGGCGGATTTCTCCGTGAAGAGGATGGACTGAAACGAGGAGGAGTTCGGGTGACGGAGGTCGTCACTGAAACGAGAGAGAGGATGTCACTGTATGGACCGCCACAAGAGGATGATGGCGAAATTTAGTATGTCGGGGATAGTGAGACGGCTGTGTGGACCACCACAAAAATAAGATGTTATATAATAATTAAAAGAGAGAAGATGTTGATTTCCATTGTCTGTGCTTGCTGCTTTGAGATTCAGGGCAGGTTTTGGGTGCAGAATGTGGGAATGCGCTGGGGTTGCCAGTCCCCAGTTGGAGACACTTCCCCCCACTTCAGGGCTGTCAGAAAGCCCTGGGGGGGGATAGCGGCTGGGCACTCCATTATACCCTATGGAGACTAGTCCCCATAGGGTATAATGGAGAATCAATCTGTGGGTATCTGGGGAGCTGGGGTTTTTTAGTTAGAGGCACCAGATTTTCAGCATAGCTGCTGGTGCCTCTCCTCAAAAAACAAAAAGTGGGGGGTAGCGGCTGGGCACTCCATTATACCCTATGGAGACTGGTCCCCATAGGGTATAATGGAGAATCAATCTGTGGGTATCTGGGGAGCTGGGGTTTTTTAGTTAGAGGCACCCGATTTTCAGCATAGCTGCTGGTGCCTCTCCTCAAAAAACAAAAAGTGGGGGAGGGGATAGTGGCTGGGCACTCCCTTATACCCTATGGAGACTGGTCCCCATAGGGTATAATGGAGACTCAGTCTGGGTATCTGGGGTTTTGGGGGGCTGGTTTTTTTAGGTAGAGGCACCAGATTTTCAGCATAGCTGCTGGTGCCTCTCCTCAAAAAACAAAAAGCGGGGGAGGGGAGGGGATAGTGGCTGGGCACTCCCTTATACCCTATGGAGACTGGTCTCCATAGGGTATAATAGAGAATCAGTCTGGGAGGCTGTTTTTTTTTTAGTTATAGGCACCAAATTTTCGGCATAGCTGCTGATGCCTCTCCCCAAAAACAGCAACAACAACAAAGTTTCAAGAAGATTGGACCGGGGGTCCAGTTCTATGAACCCCACGCCCCCCAAAAAAGGTGCCCGCATCCTTCATTATTTCCAGTGGAGGGACAGCATTTAAAAGGAACACAGTCCCTTTAAATAAATGTGACAATAAATAAATAAATGCAAGGGGAGCCTCGCTCCCTTCTCTCTGCAGTCTTCTGGTAAGTCCCCCGCCCACTTGTCAGCCTCACCTGCCAACCCTAGAATGAGCATAGAGTCAGAGATGCTAGAGTAGCACATGTCCTTTGGTTTCCAGCTCAGGTTGTCAGCTGGCCCAGGAAAGAAAATGCCCTCTTCCTTTAATAAGTATGTGATCTCCAGAAAGGGGCAGTTAAGCTTTTGTGTAGCTAAATAGTGTCACTGGAGAATTGTTGTAGCTCAGACTGATATTTAAGGGAAAGTTAAAGGGACCAGTTTAAAAGTTAACAATCCTAGACTGACTCTCGACATCAAATCTGTTAAAAGTTCTTTTGAGAGAACTTTTGATTAGATGAGCACAATGCTAAGGCACCAGCTAGAGACCAAGGGACACGGTCTCCCGCCCTCATAGGCAATGTCCTCTCTAAGCTGTGGAGTCTTTTGAGCAAAAGCTCTACTTTGTGAGCGACTAGCATTAAAGTTGTGAGCGAGTGCTTTGTCTACTGCATAAATCAGTTTGCTCTGGAGCCCTCCTTCATGAGCTAAGGCAAAATGAGCAAAAATTCTACTTTGTGAGCTGCCGGCATTAAAGTTGTGAGTGAGCGATTTGGCTGCTGTGTAAATTGGTTTGCTCTGGAGCCATCCTTGCTGAGCTAAGACAAAAAGATGTGAGCTGGAGGCTACAAGACTGTGAGCTAGCTCACACTAACTCAGCTTAGATGGCATACTTGTAAGGTGAGTTCCAAACAGAATTACTCTGGTAGCTGTAGCTAGTGAAGCCCCAAAACTCAAAGAACATCACAAACTATAATTAATAGGGTTTATTAGAAGAACTGTGCAGGAAATATACAAGTATGAGGTAGTGAATATCAAGGGAAAAACAATAAAAGCTAAATAGCTAACCTAAGACACTTATGCTCTGACCTGGTCTCAGAAACTAAACAGGGTTTGCCCTGGTTAGTACCCGAAATGACCTCTGATTTGGATGGCAGACCACCAAGGAACTTCAGGGTCACTATGCAGAGGCAGGCAATGGCAAACTGACTGGTAATGTCTCTTGCCTTGAAAAACCCTACAGGATTGCCATAAGTAGACTGCAACTTGATGGCACTTTCCACCACCAAGATACTTATTCAAGCTTTGGTGCTCTAATCCACGTGTTACCTGACCAGACCGAGTCACAGAGTCCAAACAGAATTTCAAAATCCAGAAGGCACGTCTGCCGGCCACACAAGGCCTAAACCCAAAATCAAGATGATAATTCAAAGGAAGGTACACAAGAAGGGTCCAGACTAGAATGAATTACCTTCCTTTATAGATACCACTTCGGTGGGAAGGTAACAGCGTTCCGTGCACCTTGGTGTTTAGTCATGCCGGCCACATGACCACGGAAACATCTTCGGACAGCGCTGGCTCTTCGGCTTTGAAACGGAGATTAGCACCGCAACCCTAGAGTCGGACTCGACTGGCTTTCGAGCAAGGGAACCTTTACCTTTACCTTATGCCAAACTGGCAACAGTTGGCACAATCCTAGTTGACCAATCAGTAGGGTTGCCAGCTTTGGGTTGGGAAATACCTGCAGATTTGGCGGGGGGTTTGAGGAGGGGGTCTCAGGAGGAGGTGGGCTTCAGTGGGGTATAATGCCATAGAGTCTACCTTCCAAAGTTACCATTTTCTCCAGGGAAACTGACTCTGTCCTAGAGATGTACTAGGGTTGCCAGCTCTAGGATGGGAATTACCTGGAGATTGTGGGGGTGGAGCCTGGGAGAGGGCGGAGTCTGGGGAGGGGAGGGACCTCAACAGGGGATAATGCCATAGAGTCCACCCTCCACAGCAGCCATTTTCTCCAGGGGAACTGATCTTGGTCATCTGGAGAGCAACTGTAGTAGCAGGAGATCACCAGGTACCACCTGGAGGTTGGCAGCCCTACCACGTACTCTGCAACTACACAAAAGGCACAATGAAGCAAGACACCTTTCCCCACTCAGGGTTTTTTGCGCTAATGAGACAGGATGTGGAGGCAGAACTTCTGGTTCTGGCCTTGAAGCTGGTAGGCCCCATGATCTCCCCCACACCTGTATCAGACTCCCATCTCCTTTTCTCTCCCTCTTTCTCTGAAACGACAAGATTGGTTCCCAGAGAGAGGCCTTGTAAGATTTTGCTAAGCCAAAGCCTGAACCAAAGTTTTGAAAGCAAAATGTGGAAGGCCAAGAATTGGCTAGGAAGGCCAGTTTCCTGACAAAATCCAAAATTCCAAACACTGCAAGCGGTGCTGGCTCTTAGACCTATGTTTTTGTAGTGAGGGAGGAAGAAGAGTACATTTTTATACCCTACTTTTCTCTACCCAAAGGAGTCTCAAAGCAGCTTACAGTCAACCCTTCCCTTCCTCTCCCCACAACAGGTACCTTTGTGAGATAGCTGGGGCTGAGAGAGTTCTGAGAGGACTGAGACTGGCCCCAGAAGGAAGAAGAGAAGAGCAGGTTTTTCTACCCCACTTTTCTCTACCAGGTCTCAAAGTGGCTTACTATCACTTTCCCTTCCTCTCCCCGCAACAGGCGCCTTATGAGGTAGGTGGGGCTGAGAGAGCTCTGAGAGAACTGTGACTGACTCAAGGTCACCCAGCTGGCTTCATGTGGAGGAGCAGGGAGCCAAACCCGGTTCTCCAGATTAGAGTCTGCTGCTCCTAACCACCACATCACACTGGCTTCTCTCTTCCCGCATACATTGCTGTTAAATGGGGGGTTATACCTTTGATGAAGTGGGCTTCTCGCACAAGCCTATCCTGCTATGAATCCTTTGTGTTCAACCTGCATTTTAAAAATACCTTTTTTTATTGCTACCGTTCTAGAATTTAATACTGAAGAATGTCTTGTGTGCGTGTGAAGTGCTGTCATGTCCCCCCTGTGTGATTGTGACCCCAGTGAGGGGCTTTCAAGGCAAAGAAGTAGAGGTGGTTTGCCACTGCCTTCCCTTGCAGTTATCTTTGGAGGTCACCCATCCAAGTACTAACCAGGGCTGACCCTGCGTAGCTTCCAACATCTGACAAGATCAGGCTGTACCATGCTGCCTTCTCTCCCCAAAAAAGTGCCTTGGGGAGTTATAATTTATTTATTTTTGTTCTGCGTTGTTTTTAGTCTGCCACATACATACATATTTATTTATTTGATTTATACCCCGCCCTGCCCGCCAAGGCAGGCTCAGGGTGGTTTACATGAAATTCGACAGATAACAAATCTCTCCTTATATATAATTGAATAGTGGGTGCCAAAGTTCTAATTCTAAAATGCACTCCCTTAGTGTATGGCTGATGGCACTGCTCCTCAGCATATATCGCCACCAATCAGAAGGCAAAGCCCGGGTCCCGCCCACACCACAACTGCTGCGACAACCTGGTCTTTTGCATATGGAAGCTGATTGGACTTCACTCCATTCCACACCTCAAACTCCCCCCCCCCGCAAGGCAGTTGGAATGTCAGTTGCATATGGAATCTGCTGTATTCTGGTGGTGTGCAGGTCCCAGATTCATGTTTTAAAAGCAGACTGACACTGTTTGCCCAAAGCCAGAGCACTCTCCCAGAGCCTCTTTCTAGATCTCGTTGTTTTTATTTCCACAACGGGCCTTATTTCTAGTATAACCATAAAACCAAGGCTTAAAGTGCTAGTTATTCGCTTATACGGCGATGGCGAGGTAGTAATAGCAGCAGACATACTAAGAAATACAGTCAGCAGTTGTTATTACAGTTTGGCAAAGCACAGGCTGTCAATGGTGGCATTGGGCACAGGGTCTTAGTTGTTAGATGCTGCTCCTTAACTAAGGCCTGGTGGAAGAGCTCCGTCTTACAGGCCCGGCGGAACTGCAAGAGGTCCTGCAGGGCCCTAATATCTTCTGGGAGCTCGTTCCAACAGCGTGGAGCTGCCACTGAGAAGGCCCTGGCCCACATGAAGTTACCTTATGTTGCTCTGGGGCCCAGCAGGGCCAGACGGTTTT